TATACACAACATCACTGGGTCCCATCATACAGGCACATGGCTTCTCCTACCATTGCTATGCTGATGACACACAGCTCTATCTTTCATTTCAACCAGATGATCCAACGGTAGCTGCACAGATCTCAGGCTGCCTTGCGGACATCTCGGCATGGATGGAAGAACTTCACCTGCAGCTCAACCTGGCAAAGACTGAGCTTCTTGTCTTCCCTGCCACTCCAACTCTACAGTATGATTTTTCCATCCAGCTAGGTTCTTCTACAATTACCCCATCAACTTCGGTCAGAAATCTTGGTGTAACTTTTGATAACCAGCTGACCTTCAAAGACCACATTGCAAAGACCGCTCGATCTTGCAGGTTTGCATTGCACAACATCAGAAAGATCAGGCCCTTTCTAACGGAGCATGCTGCACAACTTCTTGTCCAGGCCCTTGTCATCTCTAGGCTGGACTACTGCAATGCTCTTCTGGCTGGACTCCCATCAAGCACAATCAAACCTCTACAAATGATTCAGAATGCAGCGGCACGACTGGTCTTCAACAAGCCCAAAAGAGCCCATGTTACACCTCTCTTCATCTCCTTGCACTGGCTACCGGTTGCGGCCCGAATCAAGTTCAAGACATTGATGCTTGCATATAGAACAGCCACAGGCTCAGCACCCGCCTACTTCCACTCACTACTACGAATTTACATCCCCTCCAGAAGTCTGAGATCCGCTAGTGAGCGACGCCTCGTGGTACCATCACAGAGAGGCTCAAAATCACTTTCCAGAACATTCTCATTCACCACTCCTGGCTGGTGGAACGATCTTCCCACCCCTATCCGGAATGCTGAATCCCTGACCATTTTCAAGCAACAGCTGAAAACTCATCTCTTTCGAAGCTACTTGACTTCATCATAAAAAAAATAAAATGAAAAATAAATAAAAAAAAGTATATCTCTTTATTTATTCCTTCTCTTTCTAGCTTGTACTTATTTGAACAATGTCTAAGAACTTGGTATTACAACCACTTCTTGTGTCTGTTTGCCTCTTTAAGAAGAATCGCTTTATGTATCCCCCAATTGTAAGTCGCTTTGGATAAAAGCGTCTACTAAATGTAAATGTAAATGCTGTAGAATCGGTGGGCGGGGCTAACAGGCAGTGATGTAGAATCGGGGGGCGGGGCTAAACAGGCAGTGATGTAGAATCAGTGGGCGGAGCTAAACAGGCAGTGATGTAGAATCGGTGGGCGGGGCTAACAGGCAGTGCTGTAGAATTGGTGGGCGCGGCTAAACAGGCAGTGCTGTAGAATCGGTGGGCGGAGCTAAACAGGCAGTGCTGTAGAATTGGTGGATGGGGCTAAACAGGTGGTGATGTAGAATAGGTGGGTGGGGCAGTGATGTAGAATCGGTGGGCGGAGCTAAACAGGCAGTGCTGTAGAATCGATGCGCGGAGGCAGTGATGTAAAATCATGGGGGGAGCTAGACAGGCAGTGATGTAGAATTGGTGGATGGGGCTAAACAGGTGGTGATGTAGAATAGGTGGGTGGGGCAGTGATGTAGAATTGGTGGGCGGGGCTAAACAGGCAGTGCTGTAGAATCGGTGGGTGGAGCTAAACAGGCAGTGCTGTAGAATCAGTGGGTGGGGTTAAACAGGCGGTGTTGTAGAAACAATGGGCAGGGCCAAACAGTAGAAGCAGGCGTTGATCTTCTGTGGAGGCGGGGTTTAGCCACACTATTACGTCATGAAGTGGCACAGTCGTTTTGGCAGATTGGTTTTGAGTTCTGAAACTTACAGGATGTTTTTATAGCACAATGACCTCTTATATGTCAAAAGATCAAGGGAAGTTAGGTTTCTCAGTTTATGACCCCTTTAACTGCTAAAGTGAACATTAGCTTGGTTTAATATTTATATGCTGCTTTTCTGAAATGACGCCCTTGTTCTCAGGATGAGCAGAGCTCAGTGGCCATGCTGAAGAAACACCAGATCTTGGAGCAGGCGGTGGAGGACTATGCTGAAAACGTGCACCAACTATCCAAGACGAGCCGAGGCCTGGTGGCCGCAAACCACCCCGAGAGGTACATTTCACACAGTTCAATACTTAATATGAATCTAAGTATAAATCTGAATCTGGATCTCATTTTGAATCTGATATTAACTTTAAAACTCCATCTGGTTTTGATTCTGACATTGTTTTCTAAATATATTTCTAAATGTGGATCTGACTTTGAATATAAATATGAATCTGATTCTGAGACTCTGAAACTGACATCTCTGACACTGATTTCATTGATTAAGAAATTGGTTCTAAACCCGAATATGGTTCTGAAACGGACTTTGAGTCTAAATTTAAATATGAATCTGATTTTGACTCTACAACTAACATTGACTTTAATTTTTTGATTGTAAATCTGAATCTAAATCTGCTTTTGACAACAATGCTGACTTTGAATCTACTGGGGCCAGTTGTTCAAAAAGTTTAATCTGGATCAGAATGATCTGGATTTGGAAATCCCATGTTTTGCGTTCCAGGATCAGGGAACCCATCTTACTTTTGTGCCGCTTTTGGATTGGATCACCCTGATCCAGATACACACTTTTTCAGATTTCCAAATCTGGATTACTAGTGCTCTACGGAGCCCCTAAAGGGACATGGTGATGGGGGAAAAAATGAGATGGGGGTGGGGGGGTAAAGCCAATGTTTTGCATTCTAGTTTTGCATTGCATTTACACAAATCCGATTTGGGTTCTAAAACTGACCTTGATTCTAAATCCAAAATGTTAATCTGATTTCGACTCTGACTCAAAAACTGACCTTGACTTTGATTCTTAATCTGGATTCAAATCTAATATGATTCTGACTTGGATTCTAAATACGGATTTGAACTTTAAACTGATTTAATTCTGGCTCTGAAACCGACTTTAATTCTAAACCTAGATCTGAATCTCATTTTGATTCTGAATCTGATTCCAACTTTGATGTGGATTTTAAATTGATCTGAATTAGATGTGCACTCTAATGTTCGTATTTCAAGTCAGATCTTAATCTTTGCACCTCTGGCCTGATTAACATCTTATGCTGAACATCTCTGAATGTGATCTTGAAATCAAGCCTGATTTCTGATGTGTCTGTGCTGCAGTGAGAGGATCGGCATGCGTCAGTCACAGGTGGATAAGCTGTACGCCGGACTGAAGGACCTATCAGAGGAGAGGAGAGGCAAACTGGAGGAGCGCTTCCGCCTCTTCCAGCTCAACCGGGAAGTGGACGATCTGGAGCAGTGGATCGCCGAGAGAGAAGTGGTGGCTGGATCTCACGAGCTCGGACAAGACTACGAACACGTCACGGTGAGTCCCAAAGATGAGCTCTAGCACTTTGTCCAGCATCAAAATCAAAATGTCAAAATTTTTATTTCAGTGTTAATGTTAGTCTATGTTATAGTTCAAATAATGTCTCAATCTTTTTCATCTCAATATTAACGTATTTGCTCTGCAGTGGCTTTGAAATTATATATTTTTTAAAAATTCAGTATATTAAATTAGTTTGGAGCCAGCTTTATTGTCATTGTGCAAGTACAACTTTTAAGTACAAGAAAATAATGTTATATATATATATATATATATATATATATTCTGAAATATAAAATTAATATATTAAAAAATAATTTAAACAATGAAGATATTACAATAAATAAATTTTATACTTTTAAAATACATTTACAAAAACATAAAATGTCAAAACTGTATTTCAATTTTTTTTTTTAAGTATATGGTATTTTTTAAGGACTGGGTGATATAGATACAATTATATCTCAAACTTTTTTTTAGACTCACATGCAAGAATCTTCTTCTCTGCTTTTCTTACAAACAAACAAACTCAAACCAAATTAATTTAAACAGGCCAAACTGATTGATTTATAGAGGGAATGTTTCATTTTTACTTAAAGTCATGAACAGATCAGATGTATGGCATGATCTCCAACCAGAAGTTAAATAAAGCTTTTATTATTGATAAATCGTAATGCTGTCATCCAAGTCTGAGTATATCCAATTATCAAGACACGTTGCAAATATACTAAATGTTATCATATAATAAAAGCATTTGTGTTATGCAGAACTGTATATATATATATATATAGAGAGAGAGAGAGACAGAGAGAGAGTTTTAAAAATTAAGATTTATTTTTTTTAATTTTTGAAAGAATTCTCTTATGCTCTCCAGGCCTACTTTTATTTTATCAAGAATCAGTTTGGGCAAAATTAACTTTATTAATATTTATTAGTGCTGTCAAACGATTAAGCACATCCAAAATAAAAGTTTTTGTTTACAAAATAAATGTGTGTGTACTGTGTATATTTATATATATATATATATATATATATATTCTGAAATATAAAATTAATATATTAAAAAATAATTTAAACAATGGTGATATTACAATAAATAAATTTTATACTTTTAAAATACATTTACAAAAACATAAAATGTCAAAACTGTATTTCAATTTTTTTTAAGTATATGGTATTTTTTAAGGACTGGGTGATATAGATACAATTATATCTCAAACTTTTTTTTAGACTCATATGCAAGAATCTTCTTCTCTGCTTTTCTTACAAACAAACAAACTCAAACCAAATTAATTTAAACAGGCCAAACTGATTGATTTATAGAGGGAATGTTTCATTTTTACTTAAAGTCATGAACAGATCAGATTTATGGCATGATCTCCAACCAGAAGTTAAATAAAGCTTTTATTATTGATAAATCGTAATGCTGTCATCCAAGTCTGATTATATCCACTTATCAAGACACGTTGCAAATATAATAAATGTTATCATATAATAAAATCATTTGTGTTATGCAGAACTGTATATATATATATAGAGAGAGAGAGACAGAGAGAGAGTTTTAAAAATTAAGATTTATTTTTTTTAATTTTTGAAAGAATTCTCTTATGCTCTCCAGGCCTACTTTTATTTTATCAAGAATCAGTTTGGGTAAAATTAACTTTA